CCCACAGGCGGTTTAGGCGGCCGCGAGGCCCCAGCTGGCGCGAGGCCTTAGGCGGCCGCCTAAACCGCCTAATTAGAGAGCCGCCTCTGATGCCGGAGGCTGGCACCCCGCCGGCACCCACTCCGGAAGCCGGCTTCCCTCTCTTGAAGCACCGGTTAGCCCCGTGGGTTCCGCCGCAACCAGAACATTTGTGTCTGAATCTGCACGACGTCCCCCATTTGCATTGGCCTTCGTTAAAAGCCAGCAAAACCCCTTCTTTTGCCCGGCCGGTGCTGTTCTTCCAGGTACCGCACCAGCCGCTCCCTGAAAGGGCGCCGCCTTCTGCGCCATCATCAATTTCAACCATAGTGGCAGGTCCATCTGGTCCCATCTCATACTGGGATTCGCTGCCAATCGCTGGCGGAATTGCTCATCGTATTTCCACCACGCTAAACCCCCATATGTTCGGTATGCATCCCCTATCCCGTCCAGATAACAAAAAAGTTGTGAGCAGCGGTCAGGGTATTTCTCCCCGATGACGCTGGCCAAAATACAAAAAGCCCTGAGCCAATTCCCAAACGTTTTAGGGATCTTCCGATACCTACGTTTCTTTTCCTCTTCCTCATTTTTTGCGTCCTTTTTATCTTCCTCTTTTAAGTCGAGGAACTCCTCTGGGGGGAGAAGGGCAAAAACATCCACGAACTCCCCTTTCCAAATTTTGTCTTTTACCTCGGTTTTTAAATGACAACCTAAAGGACCCGAGAAGGAAACGTGCACGTTTTGCCGTGCCGCAGCCGAGATCTCACCACAAGATTCCGCTCCTTCGCCCGACCCCCCTACCGACCCGCTCATAGTCAGTCCGAGATCGCCATTCCCTGTCCCCACCACTCTATCTGCTAAACTGCGACCCTTCTCTTGGCCCCACACCCTCGAGAACTGCGGAGATGAAACTTCCCTACTCGCCCATGAGTCTAAAAAGGATTTCAAGCAACTTAATAGTGTTTCTGAGTGTGGTGTACCAGGTGACTTACCGCCCGAACCCCCAGCCACGACAGGCCACAGGGCCGTCTTCCGTCCATCCGCCGCGCACGGCTCCGGAGTATCCAATAGACGCTGACTCCATTCAGCCTGATCCCGCCTCGGGACTGTAGGTGTAGCGCTCCGCGACCTGTAAGGAGAAGAACACCTGGGTAGTCTGCTCGTGTGTCCAGCTACCCGCCCTTCCTCCCTACGCTCCAATCTCTCTTCTCTCCGCCTCTCCTGCCTCCCTGCCTGGCCCTCCTGGCCCTCCTGGCCGCCTGAGTCATGCCGCTGACCCCATGAACTCCCTTCTGATGACCCTGAGGTGCTGCGCCGGTCCCTCCTTCCACCTTCCCTGCAGCCTGACCTCCTCCTACTGCGCCTGCCACCAGAGGTGCTTCTCTCCCTGGCGCTCTGTACCCCATCCTGCCTGGCGCCCTCTCCACGCCGTTCCCTGTTTTCCTTCTGCCTGGGGCTGCTTCTACCACCGCAGTGCCCCTGGGAGCTGCCTCTGCGGCCCTCCCGCCCATGCCTAACCCCGCTGACCTCTGCGCCCCCTGATGCCGTGTGTAACTGGGCCCCATGCCGTGGCCCCAGCCCACCTTGGGCCGTCCTTTCCACAGGGGATTCCCAGCGCTGTCCCTGGCAACCAGAGTCCCCCTCCCCTGCAGACCTGGCCTGCCTCTGCTGCCCCATGTGCTAGGCCCAGCCGCCGTGGTTGTGTCCCTGCTGTTGGGCTCCCCCCCTGCCCATCACTGACAGCCTCCAGCCGCCCGGTTGTCACACCAGCGGCCGACTCACCGGGACGCCTCTGGTCTCCTCCTCTTCCTGTCCGCCCTGCCATGATCCCGGCCTCCACGGAGGCCGCTGGTGTCACCGCTGCCCTGCCGGCCGCTTTGCTGCGGGTGGTGCTCCTGGTTGCAGGCCGCACAGCAGTCTTCCTCCCAGCTGCTGCCCGCGCCCGACCGGCATCGCGTCGGACAGATGGTGCCGGCCGTGTACTTGCCACCTCAGCCTGGCCCGCATCCACTGCCAGGGCCCCACTGGCCCCTGCTGATGGGCTCCGGCGCCTCCTCAATTCTGGTGCCATGCCTGGGCTCAGCCGCTGGGGTGGTCTCGCCCTCCTCACAGGACGCCGTTCAGCCGCCGCAGGGGGGTTAACAGCAGCATCAGGAACCCCCAGTTGTTGTTGGAGCCAGGCCATCCCCCTGTCATGAATTGCTGCTCTCACTCCTGCCAGGATTTCATCCAGTGAAGCCATAATCTGAAAAAGAAAGGAGAAGAATCCCCACAGACCTGCCAGAGACAAATTACAGGTAAGTGCAGATTCTGATTAAAATGGCCACTTGCTAAAATGGCTGCTTAATATACTCCTATCTACTCCACCCCTTTTTACACTCATTCCTAATACTCACCCCTAATTCTGTAACTCCACCTGCCTACTCCCTGGCTCTGTCAAGGCCCACTCCCCTGACTGCGCTGTTCCATGGGCTTCAAACGTACAAGGCCATAACTAAAGGGTGCATACGTCATGGAAATTTTCCTGGCTTAGTTCAAGATAGCATCTTAAAGTCTGAACATCCTTATCTACTAAGGTTACCACATTATATTACGTACTGAAAGAGTCGTAGCATAGCCTTGAAGCTTGTTTATGCATTATTGTTATCGTAATTCGTCTGGGACAAAATGGCGCAAACATATTATGCACTGTAGGTAGGTAAGAGGTTATAGCTTAAAGAAACAGTTATGAAAAACAATATGTTTCATTTCTAACACCTTGTCAGTTTGCAATATCTCTTAAAGACAAAGTACACAGTTTAAGAAATACAACATTTCATTCTAAAACTTGTAATATTTGCATTTGCCCATAACACCTGCTTTCCCAACAACTCCAGGAGCTATACTGCCTCCACTTCTCACTTGCAATTACTGACCATAATAGAGAGAGGTAACCTTCCATTTGCGTATGTGTGTCTGTAACTGTGTATGACTGTAACTGTGTGTGTGTCTGTAAATGTGTATGTGTATGACTGTAACTGTGTGTGTGTCTGTAACTGTGTATGACTAACTGTGTGTGTGTGTGTCTGTAACTGTGTGTGACTGCAAGTGTGTGTGTATTACTAACTGTGTGTATGACTGTTCCCTATACAAAGACTACACCCCTATACACACACACACACACACACACACACATACTATACATGGATGAAGATGGGGGGGTGCTGTCAAGATTTTTCGCACAGGGTGCCTAATGGCCTAAGGCCGGCCCTGGATGGGGACACTCCTCACACTCCCTCCTCTCATTTCATGCACGCAGAGGTCATGACGTCAATAACGTCACAGCCCACCAAAACGTTCAAATTCGGATGTTTTAAATGTTTTAACTTAAGAGCCAAACTATAAAAAGAAATCATTTGCAATGAATTATTGCCCTGTTATGGTTCAAGCTTGTTTGTTCCCTATAGTGCATGCTCTTGTTTGGGTTATTGGTATTTCACTTGGCTCTGGTTTTGACTATTCTGTGTTCTCCTTCTCTTTGACTCTGCTTGTTAATTCGCTTACCTGTTTTCTGACTCCCTTGACCTCGGCTTGTCCCTGGCTATTCTCTGTCCTTTCTAAGGCCCGGTAAACATTCTCCCATTTGCACTCTGCGTATTGGATCCCTGTGTCGTTCCTGACATTACAACAGGGCCAAATGAATCCTGCAGGTGCAAACCCTCAGGGTATTTCCTATGACATCCGATTTGAGGCGATGGACCATAGAATAGACCAGATCGCTCTGGCCTTGCAGACGTTGATGTCTCTTTTGACCACTTATGAATAATAAATTGAATTTGCCACAGGTGGACTCTAATCAAAGTGTAGAAACATATCAAAGACAATCCAAGGAAATTAGATATTAATCTAAATAGGGTATTAATTTAATGTAGATTGATGTGAAAAAAAAGCATTTTAAACCATTGTAGCATAAGGCTGCAAAATAAGAAATATAACTATAAAAAGGAATCATTTGCAATGAATCATTGCCCTGTTGTGGTTCAAGCTTATTTGTTCCCTGTTGGTAAAATAACGTCTATATCTGAGGCATACTTAAATTGTGTTGTTTTTAAAGTCATGTTCATAGTTCTGTTAATAATGGCTAGCCTATTGGCTATTTATACTTAACCCCATAATGTTTAAATGTGGAAGTCGATGGAATGTAGATTTTGGATCAAAATCAGGGAGTCAATCAGATTTCCATATTGGTCTGAGTTGAAACATTAGTACTTACATTGGTCATTACCATAAAGATGAACATATTCCTATACCTTACGCACTGCTAACATTTATTAGAAACATCACATGACTTTGAGGATCATATTGAAGCCATCTACAAAAATTACCCCGACACCTGAATTTGCTATTAAAAAAGCCAATAATTGTTTTGTCCTTATATAAGCTTATTATATCTGAGCTTGAAAGGTGTTCATGAGTCTGCTTGGTATCTATGGCAATAAAGTACTCTCCAAATAGTTTTTCATTCCCAATCTTGATAAACATTCATGCTAGACATTATATGAATGAAAACTAGCAGTCACTTTGCATTATCCTAACGTGGATAGCACACACCATTTGGATGTTTTGCTTTTGAAAATGCATAAAGTTCTACAATGGGATCCAACATGTGTACTGTTCTACATTTCATCCACTCGTCTGTCTCTTTCACATTTCTTTCACTTTATCTGCTCCCACTTGTATCTGCTTACCCCTTCTGTCCCCCATTTGTGTATCTCTCCTCTTCTGACTTCACTTTTGACTCCCCACAACTCTCCTCAATTTGTCTCCCACCCCATCTTTTTGTCATTTTTGTCCTTATTCATCTCTACCCATTTGTGTTTTTACCTCTGTTTTTGCCTCTTATCCTTTGTGACCCCAACTACTTATGCCTCTGACCCTGACGACTAGTGTCTTTTTTTCCTTACTTTTGGTTCCTCATCCTTGATGCCTAACCCTTATGTGACTTTCTCCACACCACCCCACTCACTATTTGCAAGCTTTTCACACCCTCCCTCCCATGTGTTTTTTTCAATTTCCACTCCCTTGTTTGATTCTTTATCTCCTACCCCCTTGTTGCATGCCACACCCCTAACTAACTGGATTGTAGAGTGCCCACGCATAATTGTGATACACACTATGCATGTTCCTCTACCGTGGAACTCAGTGGAGTTCTGCTAAAAACAACAGTTGTATGCCGTGAAATAAATACTTGCCTGCATTTTAGAATGTCAAAATACATTAATGTTCTTGGTTACTTATATATAAAGCTCTTTCAGGAAGGTGGAGTAATTTCAAATAGAAAGAGCAATTCATGTAGAAAAATTGTGTGAAGCCAATGTAAACATAAAGTAGAGCTTTATAAGGAAGGGGCAATAATAACATATGCATTGTAATGTGAAAAGTAATCAGTCAAGTAAAGCAGGAGAGGATGAACAAAAATAGGCACTTTATGTTGCCGAAAAAAATGGCATTTCACATTCTATTACTTGAATTCTTCAGAAAATAAGGCACTTAGGCCAAATTAAATAAATTTGTGATCACTACAATTGAACAATCCTGTGCATTTTCTGACCTTTTAAAGCATGTCATTTTTGAAATTGTAGTTTCTTTTTAAGATATAACCACATAGGTAACTGTTGGGATATTTCATTTATATAAACAAGTCTGAATAAAACCTAATGAAAATTCAAAACTTCTCAAGTGTAGAAAAGGCTAGAATATTTTTACAAATGTTAGTATTATGAAATTCTGATGCAATATGAACTGACCTCACCAATCAATGACGAGTGTGAGTGGGTGGACTAAAGTACAATGACTTTTCAGCCATCACATGATGGTCAGATATAGAAAGTACTGTTTAACTGAAAATAGTGTTTTGTAAACATCGAAATCATTGTGACGATCTAGTACTCTATCTTCTGAAGAAGACTGGAGCAAGCCCAAGTTATGTATTTATTTCTGTGGGCCTTCAGATCACAGCTAATAAACAGTTAAACTGAAGTATGCCCCCAAGTATGCTTCTTTAGAAGGGCAATACAATTATAATTGTATTTTGTGTTTAATTTTGTGTTTAACAAATGTCAAACTGTACTACTTTGCTTGGAATATGATTTTTTGGGGGCAGGGGCCGGAAAGATTTTTTTCTTTAACTGACACTGAATTGAATTTGCACAATTGAGGCTTATTTTCAAATACAAACACAAACCATTCAGATCTGCAATGCTAATAGCTCATCTATTTTAACCTTAAATTTGCCATTTGCATTTCAGATCACTAGAATCCTGAGTTTAGTTAATAAACCCCAACTGACTAGAGACAAGGGTATTCTATCTAATAAACTGCTACACTGTCAGCTTACATTGAAGAATGTGACACCTGAACCCATATTTAAAATATTGTTTCATTAAAATATATTCACATTTGCCAAAGTGAGTGTAAAAGGATACCAGGCTTATTAAACTGACAGAAAATGGGCAATACAGAACAATATAGAAAAATAGCTGCGCTCTAAGCTGATAAAAGTTATAATGTTATATTTATTTCTTACAATGCTTATCAAGCAATGCCTGCAGCAAATACATAGAACTGACTAGATAGCATAAACAAAACAAGTGTTCAGCATTTTTATACCTAATAAAATTGGGTCAGAGAGTATGCCTTTGGTGAAATCATTTAGATTTCTTAGACAGTTAACTTTGACCTTAATTCTCACAGTGCCTTCATCTAACTTTTAACGTCTGATGGTTACATTTTTGTAAATTATTTTTCAAACTTTCCCTAATGAATGTTGATATTTTACACATAAAATTTAGGAAACTGTGTTAAATATATTGTGTTTTTCTTTTGCAACTGTCAAAAAATATTACTAACTAATAATGCAAGTATGGCACCATGTAATGAGAGGCGCTAACCTCCCCTGGACTGCCATTTAATCAAACTATGCAAATGTTTTCATTAGCACACTAATTTTCTTTTTTTAATTTTTTTACTGCACTTCACTGTGGAAGAGGAGGTAGGTCAATGTAAAACATACTGCGTGTATCCCATTCAATGCCTTCTGAAAATCTTCCAATATTATTAAAACATTAATTAATTCTAAAGAGTTATCAAGAGCTAATGAATATTACTTCAAAAAACTTTGATTTTTTTTAAATATTAAGAAATTTGCCCAGTGGGCAAATATTTAAAAAAACAAAATCTGGGGGATGGGGGGTCAGTGTCTCCCCGACATTAGTATAAGGGAGGTTTAAAACCTCCCACCATGCCACCATTCTTCATGCTGCGACTGGGGGCATGTCTGCTAAACACTGGGTGCTCAAGGTAATAACAGACTAATGACTGGGCAGCTATTGCACATGTATAACACAGTACAACCAGTACAACCATACAACAAAGCCACGTGAAACGTTGTCATAAAGTAAACATGATTTTGTTCGCATCTGAGACTCAAGTTCAAACATCCCATAACACAAAGTAAACAATTTCTAAATGTGGCTCACCAGGAATAGATAAAGACAATATTATGGATATAATCCACCTTTTCGCAGTAGCAGAGGAGACTCATGGGAACATAAATATTTTGGTGAAGTACGACGCCGCCAAGCTCACATGATGAGTCGTTTATAGGTGGGTGTCAGGTTAATTATGTGAAGATACATAATTCAGGTCGCTAATCTATCTGTACTGAGGCTGATGTCTGGAGGATACATTAACTTCTTTGTGTTAAAATTGCATTTTTGTAAAAAATTTTTCCTTTTTTTTTTTAAACATGACAAAAGAATGCAAATATGGCACCCAGTAATGGGAGGTGTAACCAGCACAATATATCCGTTAGCAAAATACACAGTGAATTAGGTGTACAACCTAAACAGGAAAACTTGCATTGATTCCACATTTCTACCATAACCTAAGGACCTCTCCTCGCTCATAGCCCCTCCTTAAGGACACCTCCCTGGAATGCAGATAGCTTTGTTTTTCTCTTGGTACAGGTCAAAGTTTTATGCAACAATGTGATGGAAAAATGTCTGAAACAAGATGGAGTCAACATTTAACTAAAAGTTCCTCAGTTCGTAGTTTGTAGCACAGCATATAAAGAACAAATGTTTAGACTCTTAGAATCAAATCAAAGGCACATTCAAACCGTTTTCCTGTCACTGCAGGTCCCCTCTCCCTCCCACCCCCATCCCAGGTTGCTGAAGGGGTTAAAATCCCTTCAGTGACTTACCTGTATTCAGCGCCGATGTCCCTCGGCGCTGGTTCAGGGTCCGCCCATGCTCCTACCCCGCCGACGTCATCCGTCACCTTTCGATTTAAGCCTGCAAGGTTAATATTGCAGTTTGTGAAAACTGTAATATTTACAGTTGCAGGGTGAAGGGTAGTGGGAGTTGACACCCAGACCACTCCAATGGGCAGAAGTGGTCTGGGTGCCTGGAGTGTCCCTTTAAGTCTTATTCTTATTTCACAGTCTCAGATTCAATAATAATGCATGTATGACACCAAGCTATGATAGGTTCTAACATCCCCTGGATTGTCATTTTAAATTTAATCTAGCTATAAAAAGTTTTATAGAGGTATTTTTTTTTTTTACTGCACTTCAATAAGCAAGAGAAGGTAGGTCAGTGTAAAGCATATTACATCTATCCCATGCCTTCTGAAAATCATCTAATATTATTAAAGCAGCACTGCCACCCTCCCCTCAAAAGACCTAGAACCCTAGGTGTATAGACATAGACACCCTCTCTTCCCTTACTTAGGAAATTCTTCCTCGTTAGTTGCAAGGTAATTGCCACTTCGTTGTTGCTTGAACAAATTGGATTCAAATATTGTTGAATGGGTAAGGCAGTGGCTGAGTAACAGGCAACAGAGGGTTGTAGTTAATGGAATATATTCAAAGCTTGGACTTGTCA